ATTTTCAATATAATTATTCTTACCGTTTATTTTTGAAAAAAAAAACGTGCTAGCTGGCCAACGGGCCGACCCTGCCCATGCGGGCAGCAGTCCATAACATGTAAAGAATGATATGGATGATAAATACACGCCCAATGGGTCCTATATATAGAGGATGAAGGGTTATGAATGAAATGTCGCGCTCCAAGCTCAACAGCTCTTGCCAAATGTTGCACCATTCACTGTCGCTAGCATGTCGCTCGAGCGAAAATAACAGAGACTCTGTTGCTAGCTTGTCGCTGGCCATAAGGTAGCAACAGTTTTAGTCAATTTTCCAAACAGCTTCCTCTATTTTCTTCTCAACTTTGGACCGCAATTTCTCATTCATTCGGAATTGATTTTGAGATTTCAAATATACCATGACGATCTACTCGATGAGTAAAACAAGTTGGTCTATTTACATTTATAATTTGATCATCAGAACTGGTCCGAATATTTGGCCGAAATTGACACGAAAGTCACTTTTCCAAGTTTTTGATTTTGACACTTAACCAAATTTTCAATCTTNATTCAAATATTTGAATGAAGTTGAAAGTCATTTTTCCAAGTTTTTGGTTTTGACACTTAACCAAATTTTCAATCTTTTAAACCAATTTCCAACAAAACCAAGTTTTAAATTTTATTGCAGTCGAATGAGATTTTCTGTTATTCACCGAATCATAGAAAAGGGCAACAAATGCCCTCAATTTCTTATTAAATCATTGAATCATATAATAAAGAAAGTTAAACATTAAATTAATCTAACCCAAAAAGGACATTTGAAATCTCTACACGTTTGGTGAGTTCTTGCTATTACTTTGATTTTTTTTTTTACTTTTTTTCTTTTGGTTAGTTTTTGCATTATTTGAACACAAATCAAGAGTCCAACAAGCAAATTGCACCTAAAGTAGAGGTTGTATTCTCTTCGCATGATAGACAGCAGATCCTTGAAAGATCACCTGGCTATTTTTAAGGAGATTGTCACTGATTTGGAGACTTTAGAGGTAAAGTATAATAAAGAAGATTTGACCTTAATTCTTTTGTATTCATTGCCCGCTTCATTTACTTCGTTTAGAGACTCAATTTTATATAGTCGTGGTACTCTTACTATTTAAAATGCGTATGATGTTTTGTTTTCAAAGGAGAAGATGAAATATCTGGTTGGATCTGAGGCTAGAGATGGAGAACGTCTTATTGTTCATGGAAGGAACATGTCGAAGCATAATTTCAGTAATCAAGATTATTTTTATTACAAGAAGAAATGACATATCAAGAAGGATTACAATAAGTTTCAGAATAAAAATAAGTTGTCCTCAAATCAAAAGGGAAAGCAATCAGATACTTCAAGCGACCATAATGTTGTAGATGACTATTTGAGTAATGGAGATGTCTTGCCTATTTCTGACGGTGACTTCAATCCTGACGATGATTGAATTCTGGATTCAGTTTTTGCTTTTTATATGTGCCAATCAGGATTTTTTTTAACATATGAAACAATTTCGAAAGGGTCATGGTCATGGAAAATAATGTACCTAGTCGGGTAGCTGATATTGGTAGAGTCTTAAGCTATTAGATGGGACATTTAGAACACTTGATTACGTTCGACATGTTTCAACTTTGAATAAAAATTTCATCTCGTTGGCTACTTTTGATTCAAAAGGGTGTAAAGTTCATTGGTACTGGTGGAGTTTTGAAGGCTTGCAAAGGTGTCCGGGTTGTTAGAAGGGCAAAAAAGTCTCAGTTATATATCTTGCAAGGTCGTGCAGAATCGTTGAAGAACAATCAGCAAAGGTTTAGTACCATGGTGGATATTCAGTTTGGTACAATCCTGTTGAGATTTGGGGGTGAGATCCATGTTGAAGAATATAGTTCAGTTGAGTTCAGTGGATATGTGTAATGCGGCTTTGCTACCTTCAGTTGTGGTGCCATCATATTCAATTGTTAGGGACAGACCTATTGGAAAAAGCTACGAGGAAGCTGATTTTGTTGTGCATACTTTAAGAGTATTTGAAGGTGTGTTTCGACCATGTTTGGTAAATTTTAAATCATTTTTTGAGAACCTAAAGTAATTACGTGAAGCAGTGCTAGGATTCATTTATCCTTGTTGG